CAGATCCACATTTTCTGCTTCTTCGCCCATTTTTCTGTTTTTGTCGTCTCGAGTTGTCTGTTCCGCAGAGTCTCCCGACTCTATTCCTTGTACTTCAGATGGGAACAGACTAGCTGCTTAACTTACTACTTGGATTGTGGTCACTAACCCTTCCTAAGCCCTCCTACCCCACCCACTGCCTAGTGGATTACTAAGGGGTATTTGGCTGGTGGCCTGGTCCAGCCGCTCACACTCCCTCAACTCTAGGGACTGTGTTCTCTCTTCGGCGCTTGATCAGCCCGCCGAGACGCGTCTTCTCTTTAGGGGTCTTTACAATAAAAAAACGTATCCCACCGTTGCCACCATGCCTTGCTTTCCCGAGTGAGGTAGGCACATGACACATGCCACGCCCTCACCGCAGCCTCTCCTCCAATGGGTCTCAAAACGAATCCTATAGCTCAGGTATTACCCGCAGCCGTTTCCTAGGACAGTTTTAGTTTTAAGGCTGTGTTGAGATGATTCACCCAGACTGTTAGCTACCTCCGATCCATGCACCACACCCAAAGTCTCACCTCGTGCCTCGCCCGACCTAGCAGCAGGAGTGGGGATGTTTAGCAGACGAGGAAGCGCAAGTTAAAGGTAACTCATCTCTTGATTTAGCGTTACAATTATTAATCGATCTGGCGTTGTTTAGAGCCTAGGTACAAGGCTTATGGATGTTGTTTTATGATCAACAGCTAATAAAACCGTTTAAAACCTCCTGTGCTTCTGTTGTTTCTCTGAACCAAGTTTTCTACTTACAAGAACAAAAGGGGTGTTTGAAATAAGAATCCAGAATTTTACGTTTTGCTCTGCTTTAATCAATAACTTTTGCAGGGGAACAGTGGTACGCACAATAATGATTACACTTGATTACAAAGAGATTACATGATGAATAATTTTCACTCCTTAGTCCCTTTCCAGTTGTTGACTTTTCCTGGGCAAGGTAGATCTCCGTCCCTGTGGATGGGCTTGAGACAGGCCCTTGGACTCCTCTCTGTTCGGCCTCGGACTTCTTTTAGTCCGGCCGGCCATGCCCGGTCTTGCTCAGGAACACAAGTATCCACACAGTTTACCTACTCTCTCTACCTGACCTAACACATTATTTCTCACTGCAAGGAAGACCCTTCTGCAACTCTGAGTAACCAGATTTATAATATAATTGATTTTTCTGCTTGTCAATTCATACACCGCTGCTTTAATTTGGGATAAGGTTTTATTAAGGACTAAATTTGAGAAACATCCCCTTACCATGTTTTCTGAATTAGTAAGAGGCAAATTTCCCCATCTCTCTCTCGGATGTGGGCCGTTTCTGGTCCTCGGTCTGGTTGAAATTGAAGAAAAAGGATTTAGGAATAATCCGGGCTGATGGGTTGATGAATAGTTCCAAAAAGAAGCGTATTCCAACGGATTTCACCCTAGTTCTTCTCCAGCAGAGACCGTCCAACATTGCCCTATTAGTTCACAATCGTCCCGTGGTCCTCTTGTCCTCCTCCTCGCACGAGCAGTGGGTCCCAAACAGCAGAGTCTTCACTGAAACCTTTGTTTATATAGCCTGAGATTTTGACTGACATCTCCAGACCGATCGTGCCATCAGGCTAATCCATCCCCTTTTGGGTTGGACCGTGGTCTGAATTTACAGGCCTCTTATGAGGTTTTGCCAGTCACTCCTCATGCATATTAATCTCTGGGAGTACGTTGTTCAATTATACTTAGTCATTCTGAGTTGTCCTATCCTGATTCGCTCAGAGCTGTTTCTGGGATTTTCCCATTGCATAATACCCTTGCTTGTATTACTTCTTCCAGAACATTCTACGGAGTTCTAAGAAAGTTAAATCTGGTCTTCTGGACATTCAAAAAAACAAAACAAAAAAAAACAACAAAAAAATGTAGAAACGTTTCGTCTCTCATCCGAGACTTCCTCAGTCTGAGGTGCTGTATTCAGCTCAATCTCTTAAATAGCACCTTCTCAGAGTGGATCAACCAATTTTGCTGCTGACAACCAAAACCAGCTGATCACATGCTCATGAAGGACCAACAGCCTAACAATGGATCATTAGCACACTGATGGCTGTTTACTATTCACAGAGAGCTGAGTGATACTAGCAATCACAGCATTGTAAGAGGGGGACAATTGAACACGTAGGCCTCCACCCCTGTTTAACGATGGACGATTTCTTTTCACAAAGATGGCCTCCTTTACTCCTCTCTCAAACCATCGTTCCTCTCTATCCAGGATGTGCACATCTTCATCCCTGAAAGAGGGACCGCTGGCCTGGAGATGAGTGTAGACCGCAGAGTCCTGGCCTGATGATGTTGATCTTCTGTGCTGGGCCATCCTTTTGGCCAGTGGCTGTTTTGTTTCCCCGATGTAAGACTGATCACAGCCCTCCTGACACTGAACAGCATACACAACATTACTCTGTTTGTGCCGGGGGAATGGATTTTGGGATGAACCAGTCTTTGCCGTAATGTATTTTGAGGTTTAAAAGCCACTGGGACGTTATGTTTAGAAAATAAACGTCTCAGTTTCTCTGATACTCCCTCAACATATGGAATGACCACTGGTCTGGGTTCCTCCTTTTCACCTGTTGGCTGACTGGAGTCCTGTTTGGGTTTCTTCTCTGCTTTCAGGAAGGCCCAGTTAGGATATCCACATTGCTCTAGAGCCTGTCTTGTGTGGGATTTCTCCTTCTGCCTGGCTCCTGAGTTAGTGGGGACGCTGTCTGCTCTGTGATACAGAGTCCTGATGACTCCTAACTTGTGCTCCAAAGGGTGATGGGAGTCAAACTGCAAATACTGGTCTGTGTGGGTGGGTTTACGGTACACCTCGGTTTGCAAATGTCCTCTATCAGAGACTGAGACCTCACAGTCCAAGAAAGCCAACCTGCCATTTTTTACATCTTCTCCTGTGAACTTGATGCATTTATCCACAGAGTTGATGTGATCAGTAAAATGTTGGACTTCCTGAGATTTAATTTTAACCCAGTTGTCATCAACAAAGCTGAACCAATGACTTGATGGTGTCCCTGAAAAAGGACGTCAAGGCTCTCTTTTCTACCTCCTCCATGTACAGGTTGGCAACAATAGGAGAAACTGGAGACCCCATAGCACACCCATGTTTCTGCCTATAATATTGCTCCCCATATGTGAAGTAGGTTGACTGCAGGCACAGTTTCAAGAGTTGACACAGTTGTTCTGTGGAAAGCGTGGTCCTGCTGCTCAGAGTGGTGTCTGATTTTAATTTTAAACTGACCACCTCTACTGCATCATCAACAGGAATGCACGTAAACAGTGATGTGACATCAAAGGAGACCATTAATCCAAAAAAGGCCATGCTCAATAATTCAGGTATACAATCCAACAATTTTCAGTCAGGTCATCTGGACAGTTTCTTTTTTTTCTGAAACGTTTCACCTTCCATCCAGAAGGCTTCATCAGTCAAAGAAACACACAACACAAAACTGATTCTTTCCCCAAACAGCTTACTCCAAAGTGGAACAAACCAGTTATGTTGGTGCTAAGATGGTGTCTTTGGCACGCCCCCTCCTCTGGAGCCGGCCCTCTTCCTTGTCGACAGTCATGTCTCTGGTTACAAAGAAATGAAATATTTTGTTGCATATATGACACCTGTTCATTCAACCTTTATTTATGCAGGTTAGTCACATTGAGTCATGAGGACTCATTTACAATTCAGGACTCATTTACTCATTTACCGGTGCCAGCAAAATAAGTCAGGAATTTTTCAATACCGAGTTATTCATTTGTAATTACCCATTATAGAAGCTTCAGTGATGGTTTGCTCTTGATTTATTGCCTGGCACGCTTATTTTGTTTGAGTATGCTGGTTTGAAAACTTATTGGTTTTTAAAATGGGAGTCTCCAAACGTCACAAAGATGCCAGACATTACATAAAGGAATTTCCCAGCACTACGGCATCTGGCAGAAAAAAAAGTTAATTTCAAAGAAAAGTAAAGTATAAGACTAATTTATTTCTAAAAACATTCTTGATAAGAAAAAAAAATACAATTTAAATTTTCTGGATCACTAGATGGTTTCTTTGGGAACTAATTTTCACACCTCATTTACAACAAAAATCAAAATTCTCACTCATTTTTCCAACATGGGTCACACATTCATGCAAATCAGCTGACTGTTTCTCTTTTCCACATAAATTCAGTAAACTTTGCAAAACTTGTGATTGAACACAGATCCAGAAGGTATTTTACTACACTTTTACCATTAACTCTTTTACCATTAACTCACACCTTTGGTTTCAAAGTTTAAATAAAAAATAATCTTGACATTTGTAATAAACAAATGGATAAAATAATATCTAAAAAAAGAAGCTTGTGACACCAAATCTAATAAATATTTTAGAATTAAGCATTGATAAACTAATGAAGCCTCGTACTGATTTATATTTCATTTTCTAATGTAAGATAAAAGATGACTGACCCAAACTTAATTAAACAGTTTATCTTTACAATTACCACATGAGCCTTGTTAGGAATAAAATAACCTTTGATGATGAATTGTGGAAAACAACATAATATGGGTTGGCGAATATAAGGTTTAATTATGAACTATGGAACATAGATCATATAAAGAAGACTAGAATATCTGTCAGATGCGTAAACTAGGCCATAAGCTGATAAATAATATATTTTTAGTGACTGCTAACTTTTAAAATCAACCATGACACTTTCTGCTGTCAGTAGGAAAATAGTTCCTTATAAGGCCTTTAATGAGAAAACAAAACAACTGAAAGGTTCTCGTTCAGTTAAATAAGATTAATTATAAAGTTAAATTATACTTCACATCATTTGAGTATGTGTGGGGATTATAAAATAATTAATGATGAGTTAAAGAGCAACTTAATAGGTCAGAACGACCGTAGAGCAATCTAAGACTTGATAATGTAATAAGTTATCAAGAGGATAATCAGTCTCACAGTTATTGTGAGATTATATGTGTGTGGGCTAAAATTTGTCTAATGGAAAGAGGAATGTGTCATGTACTCAGATGAAAGAGATGACAGATAATGTGTGCCCGATTGATTGGATATAAATTGAAAACAGGATGTGTCACGGGGTGGAAAAAACAGTCTGTGTGGGAACAGACTTGACACACATCAGAATTGTATTGTACAGGGGCCCCTTGATGTCAGGTAACATATAAACAATTCTCTCTTGTTCACACATTTTGAAGTCTGTAAAAATAAAGATGTTGTTTAATTCTGACATAATCGTGTGTTCCTTCCAAGCAAACAACCTGGGTGGAGGAAAGGAGAAGGACATCGTTTCCCTTTACAGCCTACACAGATCTTACTTCAGATCGATGAACTATGATGGTGTGTGATCTATTTTTAGAGTTAAGACAAAGAGAGGAATTAACTGTGTGAACAGGATGTTTGCAGTTGATGTTACACTGCATTTCAGTTGATTTTTCTTCACATGTGAATTAGAATCATGGACTGATGAAACCGGTTCCACTTGGTGACTTTCAGAGTCCTGACTCTCCAGGCTGCTTCTTCTTGTCCTCCGGCACTCTTCCCAGAACAAACGGAGTCTTGATGTTCAGCCGGTCCCTCTCTGCCTCATCGTCTTCATCGTATGGCTCATCGTCATTTTCATCCTCAACGTCACTGTGGTGTGGGGTGGAGTGGACGGATGCCGAAGGAGAGGGGGGCACTGAGGAGGGCCGGGGGTACCGGAAACCTTCTGTCTGTGCACATGAAGAAGTCAAAGTTATTTAAATCTACCAATGATATCAAATAATCTTCTTACTGATTCTATACTTTCCACAACTATTGTCCTTCACCTTTTCTTTTAAATTCATTTTACTTTCTTAGTTCTTACATTCTCACTCAACTTTTTTAATTTATTATAGTTGTACCTTTCTGTCTGCCTTTACTTGCCACATATATTTTAACTTTTTTATTGCATAATTGCTATTTTTTTCTCATGCATCCTCATTATGGATTTTTCTTATGTCTTATTTGTTTCCACTTTTCTTTTAAAGGTTAACAAGTTTTTCAATTCAATTCAATTCAATTTATTTATATAGTGCCAATTCACAGCAAATTTGTCTCATGGCACTTTACAGGAACATTCACATAGTCTACATAGAAAAGCCAGTTACTACAATTACTACAATTACTATTAATTCCACATAATTACACTATAATTTTACTTAATTCAACCTTTATTTCTCCACGTTAGTCTCAACGAGTCACAAGGATTCATTTTCAAGAGAGACCTGTTTAAACAAACCACAGATAAGGGACACAACAATAAACAGCCATAAAATGCATATAAAATAAAAAGTAAATAAAAGTATCCTGATGCATGCTCAATAATCCAGGTAGAAAAATCCAAGAAAGTTCAATATGGTCCTCTGGACATTCAAAAAAACAAAAAACAAAACAAAGCAAAAAAAAATAAAAAAATGTAGAAACGTTTCGTCTCTCATCCAAGAGACTTCCTCAGTCTGAGCTGTTGTTTTCAGCTCAGTCTCTTAAATAGCACCTTCTCAGAGTGGATCAACCAGTTTTGCTGCTGACAACCAAAACCAATTGATCACATGCTCAAGAAGGACCATCAGCCTAACAAAGGATCATTAGCACACTGATGGCTGTTTACTATTCACAGAGGGCTGAGTGATACTAGCAATCACAGCATTGTAAGAGGGGGACAGTTGAACCTGGAGGCCTCCACCCCTGTTTAATGATGGACAGTTTCTTTTCACAAAGATGGCCTCCTTTACTCCTCTCTCAAACCATCGTTCCTCTCTATCCAGGATGTGAACATCTTCATCCCTGAAAGAGTGACCGCTGGCCTGGAGATGAGTGTAGACCGCAGAATCCTGGCCTGATGGTGTTGATCTTCTGTGCTGGGCCATCCTTTTGGCCTGTGGGGCTGTTTAGTTTCCCCGATGTAAGACTGATCACCCTCCTGACACTGAACAGCATACACAACATTACTCTGTTTGTGCCGGGGGATTGGATCTTTGGGATGAACCAGTCTTTGCCGTAATGTATTTTGGGGTTTAAAAGCCACTGGGATGTTATGTTTAGAAAATAAACATCTCAGTTTCTCTGATACTCCTTCAACATACGGAATGACCACTGGTCTGGGTCTGGGTTCCTCCTTTTCACCTGATGGCTGACTGGAGTCCTGTTTGGTTTTCTTCTCTGCTTTCAGGAAGGCCCAGTTAGGATATTGTAGTGAACTAAGCCTCAGGTCAAAATCTGGCCCTGAGGGCCTTCCTGGGACAAGAACTGTTACTTCATTGATTTGAGTCCAGAGACACAAAATTAAGTTCATCCAGAGACTTTCTAAGTGTGTCCTGCACTGATCAATTGAAAGAACACTCTCTTTTTTATTATCATTACTATTTTACAAATGTCTTGATAATCAAAAGTGTTTTTAGTTCAAACCATTTTTAAATGTTGAAGTGAACTACTCATTTTAAATCAACTGTGAAACAGTATAAATGATTGTTAATCCTCATTCAAAGTAGAAATCAAGTTAATGTCTGTTACAAGAGTAATTATGCATTTTTGATCTTCTGTCTGAAATGAGCAAGTCGTGATGTGGGTCACAAGTCAAGTTTCGGTCAAAAACATGTTTACTGGAAAGAAATGTCATGTTTAACTTTTTCAGATAGATAGAAGAAGACTGGCTCCAAAAAGTCTCTGTTCTTCAAAACATCTTTCTGTCTGTTCTTAAAACAATCTACTCTGTCTCCTTGACTTTTAATGACCCTCTTACGTCACTAAGACCACACCCCTGTTGGTTCTTTCAACCAATCAGGAAGTTCTCAGAGGAGCTGGAAGTGACCTCTTTAAAAGGGTCAACACTTCCTAGTTCCAACAGAACAACGGGAACTACGCAGAACAAAATTCCAGAAGGAAGAACAAAGTTCCGAGTCTCGTGGGGATTATGGAATCTTCCACATCTGAGTGGAACCTCTGACGGGCTCACAGCTCATGTGAGTCCACCTGAGAGGTGAGCGTGGTGTTGAACGAAGTACCGTCACTACTTCGGACGATTCGCAGCTGTTCCTACGGAGACGCTGGAAAGGTAGCGTTACTGGTGGCCTCGTACGGTATCATAAATGGACTGTGTTATTCGTGTAACAATTGAATTTATCATGTTGGCATATCTGATCTTAACTGAAATTAGCTTAAAAGTGCAGATTTCTTTTCGACTGTGAAACGCAGCGTTTTGCAGCAGTGGGATTCAGAGAAAGTTTTCCGTTGTGGTGTTTTTAGAGCTGAAAGTAAAGTCAGTGTGTTCATTTAAAAGCTGAAATTTGTACATCTGTTGTGTAACTGAAGCTGGGTTTGTGGTAAAATGCTTTGATTCTGTTTAATCTGTGACAGAAGAGGGTTCTGTTCCGGCTCGGTTCTGATTCGTTCGAACGAGTCGTGTTTTGAATGGATAAAACGCTGTTTTAAAAGCTGGGCTCCGTCTCAGATCACTGTTAAGTGCTTCGTTATATTTGTAGCAGTTAAAATTGTACATTTTGAGAAGTTAATGGACGAAAGTTGACCGGAATGTTCAGGCTAATCGCTAACACGCTAGCTAGAATGACGATGCGTCATTGGTTGAAAACTGCTGTTTGAAACGCTCTGATTCGCTGAGAGGCGAGTGACGTGTCTGTCGTCACTTCCTCTGATGTCAGGTTGTAAAACCCACCCCCGCTGCTGCTCTGTCATTGGTTGATTGTCACGTGACCCGGAAATGAAGCTCGTCTTCATAGTGAATTTCAATCTGTTGTTTGAAGTTGATAAGCGCTTTAAAGTTGGTTCTGAACCGTTGATCCAATTACTAAAAGCCTAATCGCTGAAACTTTGCCACGTTCAAGTTTTAAATCCATCATTAAATGGTGATTTTGGACCACGCTAGCCGATGCTAAATTTTTAAGCTAACGGCTAACGACCGGATGTCACCAAAGCCACAGGAAGTCATCGCGACTCCTACTGGTTGTCACTAACAGTGACAGGTTAAAATAAATAAGGTTACACTGCCACCTCCTGTTGGAAACTCGATATGACAGTTTCATTTCGTTTTTAGGATTTTGGTGAAATTGAACGTTCATATTTCTTTAAAATAAGCATTTTTGAGTTAATAAACGTTCCTCAAGCTGAGTTATTACTGTTATCTTGCATTTAAAAAGTGATTAAAGTATTTATGCCCAGAAAGACGTTTACTAAGAAATTTTTCATTCACTGATAAATCCTCAAAAGGAGGTGCAAAATGAAAAATTAAGAACTTTTGACAGATACAGTCTAGATAATCACAGAGTTGATAAGTTTACTCAATTGCTGAAAGGAAAATACACGTTTAATTGCTAAAACACCAAATAAAAAATAAATAAAACAGAAAAGGAAACCTTTCTGATTTATTTTACCACCTAAAAACACAACATCTTCCTGTCTATTTATTTAAATAAAATAAATAAAGAGATAATGGAAAAAGAGGAGGACAACATTGACCTTTCAGACTCCCAGTCAGAAGATGACAGTCAACAAGATGACATCATCCAGGGAGCTTTAAATATTTTAACAAACCCGATAATTGGCACACCATTAGAAGAGATGGATGAAATTCAGAAAGCTACGGTACTGGAAAGTTTAGTAGAAAATGCCACGGTGGCAGAGAATAAAAAGCTGAGCCTTGAACGGTTAGCAAAAATTTCTCTGCTTCTCAAAGACAAATTGGATCAACAGGTTGAACAAAATGACGTGCTGACTAAACAATATGCAGAGAAAATCGGGATGTTTCAGGACCTTGAAGGACGCTTCCTTCGGTTCCAAAATGAACACATCAAGCATACTGAAGAACATCTGGAACAGATGACACGTTTGAAGCAAGACGCACGTGCAGAAATTGATTCACTAAACAAGCAAGTACAGTCACTTTCAGCATCACTTACTGAAGCCAGGAAAGTCGAAGAACAGGTTTCCATGACATACTCTTCATTAAAAGAGGAGTACGAGGAAACGGTTTCACGATTGTACCACTGCAAAGCTGAGACAGACGTGCTTAAAACACAACTTTGCCATGCAGAAAGGAAATATGGTGAGAGGCATGGACAGAATGTGGGGACACACTGGGCTTCAGACCCAAATCTCCTGTAGATGAACATATGCATGATATATTCATAAATTAAACGGATTCTTTCATTTTTCTGGACTGTATAATGACGTGCATCTGAATTTAATAAAATGTGGATGGAAACGTTAATTATCTTTGACTCACCAACGACAGTGGGTCATTTATTAACATAATCAAGTTTAACACATCACACATTTACATTAATTGGCAAGAATTGAAAATAACGACAGCTTATTAATCAGTTTTATAGGAAGTAAACAATACAGCGATTGTTCTCACTTCCAGTAGTACAACAGGCATTACCACACGGCGGTGGTTGAAAACTTTGCTTTAGACATTTCTAAAAATATCTGGAATAATTTCTACTTGATAGAAGAGTTTTAAAGATGGAAAGATGAAGTTTATCTTGAGAGAGATGTGTGAGGGAATTTGTCTGTTTTAACCAGAACAGCACGCTCCTTTGGACCAGCTTGTCCCAACGGTACACTTTGGTTGAAGATCGACTTTTTACCTTTCTGAAGATATGTCAGTTCCGGCGTAAAGTTCCACTTCGAGCCACTTTCAGCGTCTCCGTAAGAACAGCTAAACCTCGGGAGTCGT